CCCAAGGCCCTTAAAAAACATGATTTTTTGAGCTGAGTACCCTGGGCGTTTAATCAGACGAGTATGGTAGTCATAGCATGAAGCATTATTATTATTAATTGCTATGTGTAAATTGTTAGTTGTATTATAAATTTAGGTTTTATAAACATTTATATTGTGATTGTAATCTCACCTGACTCCGTGAGGTTATTAGGTTGTTTTAAGGATACCTTAAAGTATTCCTAATAGACGGCGAGAGTATCAGAGCGGTTGATGTGACCACGCACTGTCTGAGTGTATCCTTATAATATCCTCATTCATCTTGGTGATTCAAGCCTTAATTGTATGTAGCCCAGAACTGTGCAAGAAGATTGAACAATATTTTGTTTTCTTGCTATATGAAGTTTGTTATTTATACACGTCTGCTAACTTGGTAATATAGACAAGTTTTGAGTTTCGTCGTTACCTTAGAAACTTGCTGCTCTGGTGTAAAAATGTTCCAATTTCATCACCTCGTCAGAATGCAGAGTACCAGGAAAACCAGCGAATAAATTGCTAGAAATCAACCTTGAATTCTTGCACGATAACAGACTTACAGCTCTAGAACTCTATTGTTCCACATTTGTAATTTGCATTTTCTAATAAGATACCATGAAAATACACCATGCAGTAAAGTGACACGTGTATAATCACTATAGTGATGTAATGTGACATTTCTCAGTTTCACAAAGTATATTGTAACAAATGAATGAATGAGTGAGTAATTGATATTATAGATGAAGGCAGTGATGTTGACCAGAGAGCACCTAACGTAGAAGCTGCTTTAAGCATGTCACCAACTACTGCTATGGCTAAAGCTGAACCTAGGAAATCTACCATTGGACAAAGAAAGCCAGCTAGTGCCAAAAAAGGGGTATGTCTCAACTCATTTACCTTCAGTTATTTACTTTTTAACCTTTTACTATTGACCTTTTCACGTTTTTAATTTAAAGGGCTAAATTATTCTCCAGGTTTTATTTTCACTTAAATGCGCTAACTTAAAACACGTGATATTTCAAATAGAATGTATTGTTTTCTTCACAATCCAAAGAATTTAAAACCATAATCTTGAAGACAGATTAATTTTGGCCTATGTACATTTCGCAATTAATATACATGTACTTGTACTATGACAATCACATCACTGATCTACATTATTTAAACAATTGAGATTGAACTTCATCCCTGGGACAACTTACAGGGCCTTTAATTTAACTTGTACATTGTACTATGACAATGACATCAAACTACTGATCTACATTATTCAAACGCTTGAGGTTCATCCCTGGGACAACTTAAAGGGCCTTTTACAGTACTGTTAACATATTTGATCTTCTAAAAATCTTGATCATAAATTTAATTTTTGACTCCCATGTGCGAAGCACAAAATGGGAGTCTTTGCAGTTAGTGTGTCTGTATGTGTGTCCGACTGTTCCACTGCTATCTCAAGAACCATACATTGGTTTTTGATGAAACTTGGTGCATAGATGCTCTGGGCCAATGCACAGATTTGATTAGGTTTTGGTAAAAATCCATGCTCGTTAATTCCCTAATTTGCATGATAATTAGCTAGTTTTTAGCTGTTCTATGACTGTTCCACTGATATCTAAAGAACCACTCATTGGATTTTGATGAAACTTGGTACATAGATGCTCTGAACATATGCGCAGATTTGATTAGTTTTTGGTAAAAATACGTGCATATTAATTACCTAATTTGCATGATAATTAGCTATTTTTTAGTGGTTCCATGACTGTTCCACTGATATCTAAACAACCACTTATTGGATTTTGATGAAACTTGGTACATAGATGCTCTGAACTAATGCTAGGTTTTGATTAGTTTTTGGTGATAATCCGTGGATACTAATTATCTAATTTGCATAATGATATCTCAAGTACTAATCATCACATTTCAATGAAACTTGGTACATAGATGTCATATGACACTGCACAGACCTGATAGTTTTTATGGTAATATCGGTACATATAATTACCTAATTTGCATAATTAATTAATTTTCAGCTTTTGATATTAGTGAGCATTACATTTCAATGAAACTTGGTACTTACATACTCAAGGACTATGCAGAGATTGATTATTTCGGATAAATATTTGTGCATATTAATCACCTAATTTGCATAATTAGTTAATTTTCAGCTTTTCCATGGGTATCTCAAGTACTAATCATCGCATTTCAATGAAACTTGGTACATATATCCTTTAGGACGATGCATTACCTGATTAGTTTCAGGGTAA